AGCAATGTCTTTGAAACTGATTGGTCTACACCAGAGACAGCTTTCAAAGGGGCCTAGTCTCACCAGTGTCAGACCAGACAACACTAAAAGGCGAACAGTACAAAGACAATGCCACTATCAGGACATTTCTAGATTGGGGTGATGTAAGAATACTTTGATACTGGCAAAAAAGGTTCCATTTTGTACACGTTTCCTTGGTTGCACTCCGTTAATGTGCAACCTTTAACTGTACTATGAGCTGTTAGTCAGCAAGCCTCTTCCTCTCTACATCAGAAGCAGAATCTTTATTTAGACTGAAGGAATCCGATGAGCTATAAAGCTCTCTTTCACAGATGTCCAGTTAGGGGCAGGTCAGCATGTTACAACAACAAGCAATACAAAAAAAAACCGATCAGAGTGCATGGCCTCACAGTGCAATAAGCCCGGCACAGACACCGTTACCATCGTAGGGGTGAACGTGCGATGTTTATGTCGCGTGCTCCGCGCGTCTTTGTTGCGTTAAGCATATTACGGTTACGCATGGCGTCTCATTTGTGGTCACAGAAAAAACTGAACCTGCTTATGGAGGAGGCTCGGGCCATGGAGCGTGACATTGCTTCTCGGCAGGAGATGCTCAAGAGCATCGACGTGGAGACCGTGGCGGTGGAGGAAGTGAGTATCTTCACATTATGCATGGCAGTGGGCATAAGTTCATCATTCCACCCTGCAGCACACAGTTAAACATCGTGTTTCTAGCCAACGTCGAGATGACGGGGTGGGAGATGGGCAACATCAGGATTCGGATTGAACTGAGAATTGTGGCTCAAGGGGTTTATGCTTAAATAGTAGACAAATATATCTCGGGGTTAGCTGTGTGCCTTACTAGGTGGCCATCTTATGTTAATTGAGTTGTCTCTGGGGTGAATGAGCAGGAGAGGATGAAGGCAGAACGTCTGAACAGGCAACTGCGGGCACAGCTGTCTGAGTTCCGTGTCCCTCCCGTGATGGAATACGTGCAGCACAAGGCCCAGTTGCTGGACTTGCAGAATGAAGTGTGCAGCTGGGAGCGTAAAGTGGAGATTGCAAAGGTGAGTGCATGTCTTAACACACTTGTTCATTAAAAAACACTAATAGCTCCTCCCTGGTATTGGTCCAGGTGCGTACCAGCTCAGTTGGTTGTCGATATTAGGCATTTACAAAGGCCTTGAACAAGCAGCTTACTGGAGATGCACCAAAAGTCATTCCAAGATTCCACACAACAGAGTAACATTTCATCTCATCCACATTGTGTTCAACCACCACACTGCAGGTCACAACAACTCACCCACTCACCACACTGCAGGTCATGACAACTCACCCACTCACCACACTGCAGGTCACAACTTACCCACTCACCACACTGCAGGTCATTACAACTTACTCGCCCACTCACCACACTGCAGGTCACAACTTACTCACCCACTCACCACACTGCAGGTCACAACTTACCCACTCACCACACTGCAGGTCACAACTTACTCACCCACTCACCACTCTGCAGGTCACAACTTACTCACCCACTCACCACACTGCAGGTCACAACTTACTCACCCACTCACCACACTGCAGGTCATTACAACTTACTCACCCACTCACCACACTGCAGGTCATTACAACTTACTCACCCACTCACCACACTGCAGGTCACAACTTACTCACCCACTAACCACACTGCAGGTCATTACAACTTACTCACCCACTCACCACACTGCAGGTCACAACTTACTCACCCACTAACCACACTGCAGGTCATTACAACTTACTCACCCACTCACCACTCTGCAGGTCACAACTTACTCACCCACTAACCACACTGCAGGTCATTACAACTTACTCACCCACTCACCACTCTGCAGGTCACAACTTACTCACCCACTCACCACACTGCAGGTCATTACAATTTACTCACCCACTCACCACTCTGCAGGTCACAACTTACTCACCCACTAACCACACTGCAGGTCATTACAACTTACTCACCCACGCACCACTCTGCAGGTCACAACTTACTCACCCACTCACCACACTGCACGTCACAACTTACTCACCCACTCACCACACTGCAGGTCATTACAACTTACTCAACCACTTACCACACTGCAGGTCACAACATTTATCTGATTCGTCTCTCCCATCGCCTCTTTTGACAAGCTCTTATAACCTTGCTCGATTCCAGAAACATGTAACTTGTATATATAATAACTAGTGCTATATATTTGCTGACCGCTTGTTGCCTTGAAGCCTGTGCTTATCAACTGTGCTTTGTATTGTGTTTGTATGTGCAGCAAGAAGGCATAGTAGGGGGCACAGGTTGTGCATCGGCCAGTCAACTCGGTCAGTCAACCCATGGCACCTAGCTCTGTCCCATGACCTCCTGCCAGCGGGCGTTCGCCACTTCACATAGCCTTAAAGTGCACATAGCCTGGCACAATCGCCTTGGTGATGTCACCCCCACTTAGTGGTGAATGGTGGTTATATATAGTACGCATGTGTGAATTTTTACTTGTGTACATAGACCTGCGTGTGGATGTTTCACGTATGTAGCTTTGTTTGTTAAGCCTATTTGTGTAAATTTATTTACATGGGCACTGTCCAAGTGTGTGCGCGTGCCCTGGTGTGTCTGCTATCATTATGATTATGTGCAGTAAGATGCGTTGATAAACTGTTTATATTTGTTAACAGATGCAACTAAAGGCTCACAACAGCACCTGGAAAAGGCTGAAAACAGCCAGCGCTCAGCACAAGGACTATCCAGTGCCAGACTCGGCACACTGGCTCTAAATAATACTCATCACAGCACCTCCCCAGATAATAAATTGGGACAGATCCACTGGCGGAGCCAGTGGGGGGAAGGGGGTGGGATGCAATGTGCCCCCCCAATGATCCGATCGAAATCCCTCATTTCGATCGGATCATTGGGGTTTATTAGTAATAAATCGGCATTTTGCGACTGCCACTGTGTAGCATATTATTACGTGCCAGGGACTCTATGAGATGATAGGACAATAGTCTGAGTCCATAATTGGCAATAAGTAACGGCAAAGCAGTTATAAGTGACTCACAGAATTGTGCGCAGTTGCGTATACAGTACACGACTTCCCTGAAGGCAAACACCTTCAGCGAGCATGATGCCGATCACACAACGCGGTTCGAATTCGACCCTCGATCGATGGCTGTGCCATCGCCGCACACGCGTCGAATAAAAAGCAAGGGACAAGTCCTTACTAACTCCTATCATTTTTCATTGCTGGAGGGGTTGCCCCCCTACCTGAAAATCCTGGCTCCGCCATTGGACAGATCACCTATTTTCCTGCAAGATTATCCCTCGGGTTGCACCTTGTTCACAGTCTCAGGTAATGTGGCAATTCACAATTGATGTTTGGGTTAGGCTACGTAATGACTTGACCAAATTTGTGTCGTAAGACCCTCCACCACCCGACATGGGCAAAAAAATTTAGTCGCGTGTGTATCAGCGGCTGTTGTTTCGGCTCGCTCACCGGTGAGTCGAAGAACAATTATCACGACCAAACTCAGAGGCAATTAGTTGCGTTTCACTTGAAACTGCATCAAGCATCTTCAGGGCAAGATCCAGAGAGAATAAAATGCAGGTCATTCAATTTTAACCCAAAAATAAATTAATTTGCAGAGAAAATCTACATATTAGGATGTGGGAAATTAGTAAGTTTTATTGTGTTAAAAAAACTAGCAAGTGCAGCATTTAATGCAGACTCGATATGAGCTGCTTGTAAATTGAAATGAAAATGTAATTGTATTACAACATGTTAAGCTGTTTTTTTGTGCACTGACTCCCGAATGAAATTAATGTATCGTGACAGTAAATCATTTATTGCAGTTACATTGAGTTTAATTTTATGGGCAAATGTTAATGAGGTAGGTCGATGCTCATTGAGATTAAAATCTTTCAATGCAATAATATCAAGGAAGAAAAAAACATGCATATGCGAGGATTCTGTAACACGATCCAACAGTTGACTTCAGGAGTATTTAAATTGCGATAATGGATCATCTTGATCAGTTATTATGCCTTCGTGTTTGACAGCCTGGCAGAGAAAATACATTAACACTTTCAACCAGAGTTGAAAAGCATAAAAATAATCCCCCCCCCAAAATGACAAAAAAATATATACTTACAAATATGTTAACTAGTCCATGCAGAAAATAAAAAAGAAGAATCAGACTACACTGGTGCAGAATGTAATATAGCTTGACAGAAGATGCAATATTATCCGTAACTTGGACAATCCACACTGACCTTTATCCACATTTGTTTTGAGGTTTTGGATTATGAAAAAAAATGAAGGTAAATTATATTTAAATAACTACATTAAGTTACCTGTGTGACAAATATGAGACCTTGCTCTATCAGATGCCGATGACTTAAAACAGGCAATACATTTACCTGGGTAAACTAACGGATCTCCAAGAACATGTTTGCACGAGAGTTGATACTAGATTTGAAGCTTTCGTGACTGCAGGAATCCATACTCTTTGGTTCTTTCGGTAAAGTCACGTAGGTAGAAAAATAAAAGTAAAATAAAAAATATTTAATAATAAATAATATATTTTTTTCTCTTCTACCTACGTGACTTTACCGAAAGAGCCAGAGAGTAGAGTTGGGACTCCTTTAAAACGTGTTATATAAACACACTGACTCAACCAAGCTTCCGGAAGTGAGTTATCCAATACGTTCTACCTTTTAGCTGCAAATGATTTCCTAATCAAACCACAATTGCGCATACATAATAAAAAATATATTTTATAAGTGCATTCACAGAATAATATCAAGATGTTGTCATGCTTCCATTTCAGTTACTGACAAATGGTAGTCATTTGCAGATGTCATTGCCCTGCCCCCACCATTCCATGATGGGTTAAGCTTTTGCTTGTAAGACACCACTTTAAAACTGACTGGGTATTTTCTTTCGACCATTGTGGAATCAGCTTATCAGCTTCCACTACAATGAGTTTTCATGGCATTTTATTAAACGTACATTACACGGTAATGTCAGGAAGGCATTGTGTGTTACAATTGTATTGTTTCCTGACCGCAAAAACGGAAAACATAGGAGGCAGGTTTCCATTGTAATACAAATACAAACATACCAAAGCTTGCATTAAAAACTCTGCATTTACTGAAAGCAAACAGGGAATGTGGATTGTCGTCTTCTTGTGCCTCTGGAGTTGCGTAATGTCTGAAGGTACAACATCTCCATCATAGCTACCCGCTGCAGAATATTCCATCCCCGGTTTCCCAGGACCTTGCCCTCACACGATTTTCACAATGCAGCCATGCAGTCTCGAAACCCCATTTTGGAAACATGTTGCAGTTTCCACCGGGTTCGATTCCCAACTCGGGCGCCTACCTCTGAGGAGTGTGTAGGTTCTCCCTGTCTTGCATTGGATGTGCTCTGTGTTCTCTGGTTTCCTCCCATAGATGACGATCATAGACATACAATGCAACTTTATTAGTCAAAACATCATAATGCTGAAACATTACATGCAAATTACTCAATTGGGGTTACACACAGCAACATCAGCACCTACTGCAAAAAAACGTCTTGAGGCCTACCAGTTACGCTGTGTTTTTTTTAGCTATGGGAGGAAACTGGAAACCCCAGAGGAAACCCATGCAGAACAGGGGGAGGACATAAAAAACTCAACTCAGAAAGGCGCCCGAGGCGGGAATTGAACCCAGGTGCTTCTTGCCATGAGGCACAACGAGCGTTACCACTGTGTCAACCCTTCCACCCGAATCAATCGCAAGCAGCTGCCCAGAGAAGAACCTCGGATCTCAGCAGTGCCAGCTCAGCATGCGTACCTCTTGAGCCACCGGGCCCACTTCTTGAAATGATGTTTTAATAACCTTACACTTTTATAAAAATCCAAGTTCCCTTAGACACATTTAACAATGTGCGACTGGTGAAAGCCGGCATGTGCCACCAATGGTCTGAAGCAGAAGGCTCGCGGTATCGGGAGTTGACAGAGCAGCATGGGTGCAGATAGTAAAGAAGTGTACCTGCCCTCAACATCTAGCAATATGGCGAATTCCACTCACAACGTAAAAAAATATAACAAAACATTTCAACAAGCATTTTAGTCACTTTAATTGGACTTTATAACGACAAAATGCAGAGGGAGATAACTTTGGTTTAAACACAAACGGTGTGCAATACGAGACACAACTGGAGCATAACCAACACAGTACGGCAGCTTGGATGAACTTTCTGGAGCTACCGTCGACTTTCCACGTGGCTCCACTTGAAGCCAAGGAGGGTGCATTCAGCGATGTCCTCACTGTGTTGAGATCACCGCTTCCCCCAGCTGTGGTCCGCAAGGCCAACGGGAAGTGGTCTCGGTGACGCGGTCACGGATGCTGCAATTTTTAATTTAGAAAAAAAATGTGTGTTGGTGCATGGTGCTCCGCAAAGATTTGGTTGGGAACCACTGGCTTCGAAGCGTCCGATGCAATTGATGCCTGAATATTTCACGGGTTATTCAAAGGTTACTTTTAGGGATTTAGGACCGAAAGACTGCACCCTCCCTTCACCGCAATGGAGCCAAGTTGGTGCGCGAGTAACACTCTCGCGTCTCACACAAGTGTCGAGGTTAGATAAGTAAGCAGAACCAAATGATATACTTCTCCAATCATGCTGTACTACGTTTCTAAACAATAATGTTAATAATAGAACGATTCTAAAATAAACTTAAGATGTAATTTGACATCAATATTAATCATCAATCTTGGTCAAGCTACTACGGAATGAATGCCTCCCCTCAACCCTCCACCATCTCTTACGATCCCACAATATAACATCGATAAAATTAAGACAATAAAAGAGACATCTTAAAACTAAACACTACCACTTAACATTAAACGAATTAACGGAAAAAACACAAAGTGCATTTGGTTCATGGTCTTAAGACGTTTTGATGATTTGAATGTTACAACGAGCAAACAGAACCTCCACATGGAATGGAAGGTGGCCAAAACACTTTGGGAATGGTACATTGACAGCATTCATATCGATAGAATAACTTTGAGTACTTTAACCACACTAATCATATTTTATATTCCGGTGTTATGTTCCGTAAAACATTAAAAATGAATTAACTCTCACCTGGATGATCGACCGTCGTGAATTAATGTGGCCAATGATACTGCACTCAGAAATAAAACGCCAACAGCCAATCTGTACTTCCCTTGCAATCGGTTTGTCCACCACCGATGTATTATACAGGGTATGGGATGCTTCAGCTCTGAAAGACAAGCTGAGTTTAGCATAATGTTAAGTTCTTTCAGTAAAGTCACTAAATTAAATCACGACGTTTTGGGCACAACACAAGCGCCCGTCACCAAGTGGGACACAACAGTTAGAATCAACTGCTGAACTGGGCAAGAAATCTGCAGTGACGGGCGCTTGTGTTGCACCCGAAACGTTGTGATTTAATTTAGTTGTTTTCATTTTTGTTTTATTTTATTTTTACCTACGTGACTTTACCAAAAGAACCAAAGATTATGGATCCTTGCAGTCACGAAAACTTCAAATCTAGAATGAGTTTAGCTTCCTTGACTATCAGCCACATTTCTTGTCACAAGTAAACAGCATTTGGCGCATTTAAATGTCCTTCAATTTATTTTTTCTCCGTGTGTTTATACAGAATGGCTATAAAAGGGTGTAGTTATTCTGGTCACTGCAGCACAGTTTCCTTGACAGGTTACCCATGGCAACAATAAACATCCAGAGGTGAGATCATGCCTTGTACAAAATTATTGCAGGATGTTTTGAAATTATAAATAAATCGCCTTGAAAATGGTCCTCTCAAAATGCTAACATGCGAGTATTAATTTCTTCATGAACAAATTCATGTCAGAAAGGTTATCAGGAAATAAGTCGAGAATGTGATATTTGAGATCCAACTTAAAGATGCTAACCGTAGCAGCAGTGACAGACGCAGCTTAGATTTTCTCAATATCTCGACAAAAATTAAGTGTTACTGTCAGGGATCCAACTGTTTGCCTTACATGTAATAGTGATTTCCAAGCAATGTAATTCTATCAATATTGTTCTATTTTAGAAAATCTATCGTACTAATCCCCGCAACCGAAATGAAATATTTACCGTGGGAAATACAACCGCTTTAAATTCAAGCACAACTGGGCATTTCTAGAGGAAGTTTTGAAGCCCCGCTGTTCGTGATCGACCCACCAAGGAGTGGTTGAGGGGAATGCCAAATGGCTCGGCCGTGTAAGGCCGAGAGATTTAAAAACCACGTTTAAACTAATAGGTCTTTGTAGTATCCTGAAACTCATTTTAATAGACCCTTGGCTCAAAGTTTGACTTAAATATCCCTTTGCTATTGTACAGTTTGAACACAGCAGCGGATAGTGACCATTCTGAGGAAATTATAATGTCACAGGAAAGACTGCATCCAATGGTGTTGTTTATCCAGCAGGTCAGGTCAGGTCTTTACATGGTAGAGCGTCTTTCTCCATGGCAATGTGTATATAAACACCCGCAGCGTTTGGTGAAAGAGCCCACGCACAAGACCCAGTCAAAGCCCCTGAGATCACCCGGGTGGAGTCGGCTCGTGGCCGGGGGTCCAGTTGAGGGATTGCGGAAATGTCATTAACCCCACTGCGTAGGTGTTCACGGTGGTGCTGGACAGCTCTCCGGATGAGTTTACTGGTTGTTACCGCACACGTCCGGCGTGACGCTAGCTCCCTGGCTTCGTGTGAAGAAGAAGAAGAAGAGGGAGCGGCTGCTCCCGGCATGTGAAGCGAAACGTCAAGACGCCTTGCCGGACAACAACAACAACGCAGCCGGGATCCGAGAGCACTCCGCACAGGTGTTACCGACCCAGCCTCTCGTAGTCGTGGCATCAATAACTTTACCATTAAAAAAATAAACAATTCATTTCTCAACCAATAAAGGTCGTCCAAACCTATTTTTAGGACACGTTTTCTTCGGACTTAAAACTTTTTCCCACCTTAAAGTATCAAGAGTTGCTCACAATCACAGCGCTGGTGCGAAATAAAAAGCAAGAAACGTGTTCTAATTGAGTTTCAATGCAAGTTAAAATTGGTTCCAAATGTCACGTACCCGAGTGACTACTCGAGGTGGGTTGACGACACGAATATTGAGGCCGTAAAAAACCCTCCACCTTCCCTCCCACCGTTCAATAGAATGGGAATGATTCAGGCTTGCGATCCAAGAATCAATTATTTTCATGTTGTTTGTATCCTGTGTCTCATGTCCCATCTTTTTTTGTACAGTCTTATGCACTCCATTAGCCTACGTTAATAATTCCCATGAATATTCATAAAATGTCAATCATGTATTTGTGTACACCCCATTAGATGCATGTCTCATGAGATGCTGGGGACCTTAAGCCCGCAAGCAAAAACTGGCACCGCATCTTTGCAGTCCATGCAACTAAATTCAAATGGTCAATCACATCTTGCAATTCTTGGATGTTTTAGGCCAAATAATGCGGAAAGGTGATTTCCAATATCCAGCCATTTACAGCTCTCCAGCCATTCACCACTCTCCAGCCCTAACCTATGGCTTCCGTCTACTTCGGGAACATTTAATCTCTTTCTTGCATTGACCCCCTGGTGTTTTCCCCTGTGTCCCCATTTAGTAATTCAGGCCGTATATAAGTTGTCAAAATACAGCGTTTTGTGGTGTTTCTAATATTCAGAAGCTGTACATATTCATTCACTACTACATACGTTGAAGCATTTTAAAATATATATAGTTTGTGGTCAGAGATTAGTTACATATTACATTCACTTTGACTACACAACCCTACAGAATTTCATGACAGCACTAACGATAGCTGTTGCAACCCTTTTGAAATGTTAACATCAAGTTTTTTGTTTTTTGTTCTGTAACAACTTTCACCCAACGTTTACCGCACGACGCCGATCATGGCGACATGCTCATCAGAAGCAACACAACAAGAAACGTCACGTGGGCTGTCACACTACTGGAAGTGTGCACTGGAGATGCCACACTCATGCGGCGTGGAATGATTTTTTCCAATTATAATGATGCCTGTTCACCCAGGAAAGCGTCGCCGAGGCTCAAGACACTTCTTCAGAAGGGTCTTGGCCAAGTTTCTCACGAAAGGAGCGATGTTGATGCTGTGTTTCCATTCCGAATGAGTCATTTGGAGGGCATATATCAGCACTGGGGATGTTGGCCAATGCCAGTTACATCGCGTGTGGGCTTCGGTCATGAAAGAAACTGCAGAACCCGGAGGAGACCCATGCAGAACAGGGGGAGAACAAACGCCAACACAGACAGACAGCCGAGTTGGGAATTCAACTCGGGCCGCCCTTGTTGCTGTGAGGCGCGACGAGTGCTGCCACCGCACTGACACCCTGTGCCACCCAGGTTGATTGGAGCCTCGCACTGAGGGCACCGAGCGGAGTTTTCACCCCTGGAGCCAGGGGTATGCTGCACACATTCGGTAATTTAACCATTCTCTGGGAGTGTACACGTTGTGCTGGCTTACATCACGTACTCAGCAGTGTTTTTTTTTAAATCCAAATTTCCATTGGAAGTTTACCTGCAATTTTGTAAAAAGTGCTCGTGCAATTTTAGACTCGGTGACTAGGCATTGTACTTCATCACATGTATCGCTTGTTAAGTGGTCAATCCAAATATTTTTGTTGAAATATCAACAAACTTGTTTACTTAAGTAGGATTCCTCTCACCCACGACTTCTGTCATCCATAGGGTCCATGAGAACTCCTATTATTGGCGGCCCCATCGTCACCCACATTTACGTGCCATTATTTACAGAACATAAAATTTGCGGACAATAGGATCCGTGACACTCATCCCCCCCCCCCCCCCCGCATCGCCGCAGACAACAGGAGCTCCGTCACCGGCCGGGCTCCTGATGCTACACGTTGCTCAGCACCTCGGCGACGAGCTTCTGCAGTGCGGCAGCGCGCATGCGGCCCGTCTCCAGCACCTCGGCGTGGTTGGCCGTCTTCTCGGTCTCGTAGTCCAAGATGGCTTCGTTGGTGATGAGCGAGATGCCGAGCACGCGGAGGCCACAGTGCTTCGCGATCAGCACCTCTGGCACCGTGCTCATGCCTGCACGCACGCACGCACACCAGCGTCAACACAGACCACGGGAGACACGGCGGACACCTGACTCGCAAGTGGAAGATCAAAGACGCTCTCCTGTGTGCGACAGCGGCTACGCGTGCAACCACGCACTACCCCAAGCGTGCACGTGACGGCGGAGGGTGGATGGTGTCCACAATTCACCAACTCTTGGACAAAGCAATCGAATGGGCGAATCACCCACAACGGAATCTCTTAAGAATTGCCCTTGATTAGCCATACGAAGGATGAAGACCGGCGTAAAATCTGCAGCGGTAGTCAACTTCCTTGTGAGCAGTGGAGCCAGCTACGCAACCAATACAGGGAGGGGGAGTGCGTGTGTGTGGGGGGAGTGCGTGTGTGTGGGGGGAGTGCGTGTGTGTGGGGGGAGTGCGTGTGTGTGGGGGGAGTGCGTGTGTGTGGGGGGAGTGCGTGTGTGTGGGGGGAGTGCGTGTGTGTGGGGGGAGTGCGTGTGTGTGGGGGGAGTAGGAGTGTAGCGGTTAGTGCGCTGCGCTACGAACCCGGCGTCCCGAGTTCGATTCCCCCTCATGGCTAACAACAGTGACGATTAACTGAACCGGTCCTGGATCAGCCCTAGGTAGATTCTGCCTTAAATAAGTACCTGGTGCAGTTGTGTAAACATAGCCACTGGGGGGTCACAGGTCGGACATGGTGCTCGCCACCCACCCCATCGTGTGCCATGCCACCCTTCATAGGTGCTCGCTAACAGCACTTGCCCAAACAGTCTGTTTTAAAGGCTATAGAGGGGATCTTTGTCTTTGTGAATGTTTGTGTGTTAATGGTGGGTGCTCGCTAACAGCTACAGCAGCTAACGAGCACTTAAGGGCAAGTGCCGCTTGTGTGCAGACGAATGCGTTTCGCACGCTCGTCAGCAGGTGGCGGTAGAGAGTTTCCAGATGGCGCTTTTAACGATAACCAAAAGCGGCCAAAAACTGAACCAGTTATTCGATGCAATGGGGAGGGGCGGGCAACCGGTTGCGGCAAAGCTCACCAGCCAACTGAGTACGAGCCCAAACCAACTATCCAACCAGCACCTATCACTCCCATTGACCCTTTTATCAACCCCACCTCCAATGATTTGCCAGGGTCTCTTTTGTCATGTTTGCTTTTGAGGTATTCACAATGTCAGCGCAGCAGCCACGCGAGCGACGAGCGCGCTCATGGCACCTCCAATTGGCACGGTTGGCTACGTACGCTTCGAAAGAAGCTAAAAATGCAACACGTACATACACAGAGGCCCAAGCAACGGACACATGTGGCGACGACCGCCTTACCCACGGCGTCGGCGCCCAGGATGACCATCATGCGGCACTCGGCGATGGACTCGAAGGCCGGGCCGGTATTCATCACGTAGACGCCCTCGCGCAGGAACTCGCCGAAGCCCAGCGTGGTACCCACCTTCTTCGCCAGCGCGCACAACGAGCGGTCGTACGCATCGGAGACGCTCGGGAACCGAGGCCCAAACCTGTCGGGACGCGAGCGATCGTGAGTGTCGCCCGGCCTGATATCCAGCCCGCAACTGTACTCCCGCTGCGCTGATCCCTGCACGGTCACCCCCGCGGTGACCTGGCATCGTGACCTGGCATCACGTGACCTGGCATCGTAAGAAACGTCACTTGACGTCTGGTGGACGGCGTTTGTTGGCTTGCTCACTACAGGGCATTTGGCTCCCCGGACTTAAATAAGCATTGGATGGCTCTCCGTTTTCAGTCCTGGGCCAGCGAAGGAAATTCCACACTGCCATGGCAAGAGACGGTCTCTCTCCCCAACTACTGTTCATATCCTCCCACACGTTGGTACTTAATGTAATGACCATGTAAAGATGATGGGCTGAAGCAATCACTGCAGATTGTATCAACCTGGTAACCTGCCCACTCTTCAGTTCTCCCATGGGGCAGGAGTGGGGATGCTAAGGGACGTTAGTGGATGCTATGGGACGTTAGTGGATGTTACGGGACGTTAGTGGGTGATTGGTGATGTTGGAAGTTGTGACAGGATGCGATGGGATGTTTTCCTGGCTCTTACTTCTCGATGTTGGGTCCCAGCAGGGGGTTGTTGCCGGCCAGGCCCGGCAGGTTGATGTGGTCGCGAATGATCATGATGTCGCCCACTTTATATTGCTTGTTGAGGCCACCGGCCGCGTTGGTGACGACCATGGTGTCCACGCCGAGCAGCTTGAACACGCGTATGGGGAACGTCACCTGCAGAGAGACGGAGCGAGTGCTCGTAGCCTGTGACGTGTCTGGTGGCGGCTACGCATGTAACCTGTGATCCAGCACTTGTGGAAGCAGCGAGGGTGGGTAACTCGCCAGGAGAAGGCGGAACAGCAAAGTGACAACTAATCTCCATATGACCCTTCTGTACGTGTTATGACTGCCAGGTTGTCTGTTTTATTATGTCAGCCACACAGTTGCAGAACACAGGTCCAAAGGCCGGAAAGGTCAAGTGGCCACTAAAGTTGTAATCGATAAAGAGATAACACGATTCTTGACTTGAGCAAGGTAATTATGCAGTGTGGGGAATGAAGCAGAAGGAGAAGTGTTTGTGACCTGCAATGTGGTGGCTAAATGATTGGGCTATTGAGTGTGTGGGTGACTGCGTTTGGGCAGCGGTGGTGTAGCGGTTAGCAAGCTGTGCTACGAACCTGGCCAACAGAGTTCGATTCCTGCTCACGGTTAACAATATTGACGATTATCTGGACTGGCCTGGGCCTCCCCGATGTTGACTCAGCCTAAAATGAGTACCTGGTGCGGTGTGTAAACATCGCCACTAGGGAGACCAAGGCTGCCAGGCGTGGTGCTGGCCACCCACCCCCTCTCGTGTGCCGTGCCGGCCTTCATCGGTGCTCCCAAACAGTACTTGCCCCAAGTCTATTAAAAGGCTATATGGGGGATATTTATCTTTGTCTGGGTGAGAGTAGTCGAGAGTGGGGGAGTAAGTCAGTTAGCTGTTGTGACCTGAAATGTGCTGGATAAACAATTTGTGGTGGATGAGACAAAATAGTCCATGTCTGGTCGACCGACGTTCACAGGAAACAGTAACCATGTTAATAGCAGTAGCAGCTGTAGAAGAGTGATAAGGAGGCGACTGAGCACCAATGAACGAGTGACCGGAGTGGATTCGCGAGTGCCAGATCATCGGTCGAGCCGACTGCACGATGCAGAGCGGAAGCTGGTGGGGGCGGCACCTTGCTCATGGAATATCCCTCGTACGCGTGGAAGCGCCCCTGCATGCACACGCACGTCTTCCCGCTGAGCTGGCCGAACACGAGGCGTCCCACGTGCCCCTCCACTGCACCCGCAGACACAAAGATAGCGTGACGAGGTGAGCCCCGCAGGAACGCCGAGTCGATGGAGCTCACGCACACGGGGGGCGGGGGGGGGGGGGGGGTGGAGTCGTGTGCTCGCAAAGAGATGGATTTCTTTATTTGTCTGGGTCAAATCTTGTAATCAAAAGTTCGTCCACTTCCCGTTGTCCAATCAATTCCACATTTTGCACACGTACTCAGATCCGGTGACAATGCATGCCTGCATCAAAATCGGCATCAATTAATCAATTAATTCGCTACTTTAAAGCAATTTACATTTTGTATGGTCGCCTTATCATTTATATATTTGTGTAGGTCAAAAACGCCACGGTCCCTAAACTGTGGAATCGGCTCACACAAAACGCAGGCGCCGCGTATCTCAGGCGCCATTGACGTACTTCTTGACCTGAGTTAAACGAAGTTGTTAATAAAACCCGTTGTTTTTAAAAAAAAACTTTTAAACGAGTTTATTATTATTTATGTTGTTCACGAGAGCTGGACCACGCTTCAGATTCGATTTTATGTTCAGCCAATACCACTGTTGGCCAAACTTCATGATGTCGACCGACAGAGCTTGGGCGATTGTTGCCGTCAATTCTGGCTGCCTTCAAGTGCCACTCCTCCCAGAGCTGCACCCATTACCTGCAGAGGGCAAGTGGCCAATCCACAAATCAATTGGGATGTGAATACCCAACATCGCTAACGATGACGACGACGACGATGTGGCATACACGATACACACAACGCACTCTACAGTCCCAACGGGCACCGCACGTGGCGTGGACGCCACACGTTGTATCCCACGTGCGTGCGTGCGTGCATGCGCCCGCCCGCCTGTGCGTGCGTGCGTGCGCGTACGCACCCGTGCTTTGCGGGAAGTTGGGGATGTCGGAGTAGGGGAAGGACTGCTGGTCCTCCAGCATGTCTGCAAGACCGCCCAGGCCCGAGCCCAGCACCATCCCCACCTTTGGCCGGTGTTTGGTTTTCGAGAGCAACCAGTCGGCCGTCACCTTGTAGTCCTCGTAGCGGTACCTGACGAGTAGCAACAACACGGGTCGGCGGGGAGCTACACCAACGGTTTGACCAAGCGCAATAATTTGCCCAGGAAAGCCGCGCCGAGTTGCGCGACTCATTTTCAGGAGGGTCCTGCATTGGGTGTTCATTTGAAGGTGTATGCAGCCAATTAATGAGCGTTATTACACGTGGGAGAGAACCCATGCGCATGAGAGGGGGAAACGCTCCATCCCCGTGCAGATATAAACAGATGGCGACTGCCTTCTCCTGCTGAGCCAGTACCATTCTTATCACTGTATCAAGATTGAAGACTGTGGTGCATTGATAAGATGTAATATAAGCACATTTCCTGTCATGCATTATTTAACAGATAAGAATAAGGCAAATACAAGGTTAAAATGCAATCCTTTGTTTCAGTGTTTACTCCGGAATTTCGGTTGCAAAGTCAACAGTGCGATGGGTGTCAAAGAATGTCCACTCTTCACTGGATTGTGACTGCACGGTTTATCTCTTAAACTGTGCCACACAGAAAGGGCAGCTGCATCGCGCCAGCTCATTTCCCTTCTTTCCCCGTGAAGTACAGATGTAACAAATGTTATATCAGTGCAGGCTTACGATGGGTACGTTTAATTGTGAATGAACGATTATTTTGCTTCTGATTAGCATGAACATACTGCATGCACTTGGCTCACCGACACCCCGGAGTCACGACCGATTCGACATGCACTACGAACGCGCAAAAATAAATAAGATTCTGGATTCCAACTGTGTTTTTTTTTTCTCGAATCGTGACTAATTCCTGGAATCGAGGGAGGGGTGTGAATTACCAAACGTGCGGAGCTATGGAAGAAGGCAAAGTGGCAGCACACTCATGCAGCCACGGCGTGCTTAGAGGCTTCACCACAAATGGCACAACCTCCCACGTCGCCACGTGTGGTTCACGGTCACGGAGCAAGGCCGACCAAACGGCCGAATGTGGACTCGCGTGCGGGACACAGGGCCACGCACGTGCGAGCTCTCAAAGAGACACCCGACCAGCTCCATCGATATCATGCGTACGTCTCAGACACTTTAAAGATGTAGGTAGTCATTGAAATAATCGTCAAGTGGCTCTTGAGCGCTGCATATCAGCCAGTGAGGACTGTAATTTGTCCACCTATCTGGATAAGATAGACATTGTCGTAATATACCACTGTGCGCGACGTATATACCAGGGCCAGACCAACCAAACATCCTACCCAAGCCGGGATGGCGATGGTATGTTCTTTTGTGTATGTGACAAACCATGGAATGCTTCCATAAACCCACAATTTCCCAAGCTTCAGATAATCACCTTCAAAGTGACGTTATGAGGATGATATTAAAATGTTTACTCTGAAGTGGCCCAATGTGTGGAACTGCCCATCCAGAGCCTTAAACAAACGCACGCACGCATGCACACATTCCTTTCACGCACAAAACTGAATTGAGACTGTTCATATTAAAACTTAGTCATGAAATATGGACTTTTAAATCGTTGTTGTTTGTAAAATAGTGATGAGTTCACGTCCATATCGCTTGTGTTTGCTGTGGCAGACACATCCTTGCTTGACAATTGTGGTTGTGTTTATGTCAGCAGAGCGAAATTCTTATCCGTGCCCCTATAATCTGTGACTCCTATTATCCGAGACCCAAATCTTCCTGCAAAAACTCCCGTTTTTTTCTGTGTCCATCTTTCAATGTATAAAAGGCAAACCTGGGAGTGGCGACTCAGAAGGGATAAAATTCACCATAATAGCCACATTAAATTACCAAAGACCACACGGATAAGAGAGCTATACCGCAAAAGGTGGCCATACAGTGCATGAAATCACACAAATTACCCATATATCCGGATTCTGAATATCACACGCATGCGAGTCTACAGCTCCACGGAAGCACACATCAGGCAGGCGTGGTGTCACGAGATGCACGGTTTGGCTTCGTCACGAGAGAATGCCAACTCTACGGGAAGTGCGACGCAGTGATCACTCTCCCTTCTCAGACAAACTCCGCGTGGCTGCATGGGGTCAGCCACTCCGCGATCGCATCTTGCTTCCGGCCCCAATGTGTTCAGGCCGAGTAGTTGACTTTTTAATACACATGTATTACTTCTTCTTCTTGGTTCTTTCGGTAAAGTCACGTAGAATGGAAATAAAATCATAAAAATTAAACATAATAAAATAAAATTCTCACGTCGTTTCGGCCACAACACAAGTAGCCTTCCTCAGGTGAAGAAACAGAACTGTCGGGAAGACAGCACTTCAGTGAACACTGCCAAGCTTGGCAGCGTCTTTTAAGCTGGGTGGGAGGAGCAGAGCGCCTTGACGAAGGAGTTTACACATCAACAGGAGAATTTAGCATTGAAGTAGCTGTGTTAATGTGTTGGATTAGCAGGATGTTAAAGTCAGAAATTAGCATGTAACTGGGAGAATAGCATAATGTTAGTGTGAGGAATTAGCATGTAACTATGTCGGAAAAAGTGGCGGTTTCTTTTTTCTTTTCAAGGTTAGCACCACGGAAAGCGACGAGCTTTGTTCAGACGGACGAGTCCATCTATGCTTGGAACGGAGGAGGGGGGGGAGAGAAAGAAACAGCCACGATGCGCTCCTCAGTCCTGTGTTGCGTTACAACTATGCTATAAACTAGACTACTATACATTACAATATTATACCTTCCAATCTAAACTACATTGCATAATATCGTATACACAGCCCAATGTAAGCTCTAACATTATGCATTATATTGATATGCCTTCAACTAAACTTTTTTTCTAAATTACACGACTATACACCGTAATATACACTGCCATAGACAAACCCACCCTTGAATTATACAATGCGTTACTATACACTACCCTATACTTTGACTATAAAATTAGACTTGTAATATTACACTATGTATTATTCCACCAACCCTACTGTATACCACACTGCTGTATATTCACTATACAATTACGATACTATATATTGCCTAATGAATTATGTTAAACATTACACTGTAATACTATTTATTATTATACAACATGCTATAAACCATACCATTGACCGTCGTGTGAAAGGTACTAAGAGGCAGTGCCAGCGAATGGACTGCGGTCTGAAAGTCACCGTAAAATACAATCAAGAACCGAAATGGTTTATAACGTCTTTCCAATGGTTACTAAGCCAGAATCCATCTTCTCGGTTGAAATTGTCTCTGTGTTTGTATATGTGGATGGCCTCATGAACGAATCTCTCATGGTAGCCGGATGGCTTGCAGAGAACCTCCGTCTTGGAGAAGTCAATGTCATGTGAGCCCACTGAATTATAACAGTGATCTGCCACGGCTGAGGTGTTCGTCCTACCGTGTTTCAAGTCTGCTTTATGTTCACGGATGCGGTCCGAGATATGTTGTTTGGTTTCGCCAATGTAGCTGCTACCACAGAGGCAATTTAGTTTGTAGATGCCCGGGTACTGTATATCTGGAACCACATCTTTTTCCGACGGAACCAGATCACGGATTTTATGTACTGTGTTGAATCGGACCTGGATCTTGTGTTTATTCAGGATTTTGGAGATCTTTTTTGTGACCCCCGCAATGTTGGGTAAGGTGATGGTTTTAAATGGCTCCTCAAGAGGATCCTTCTTCATGGTTGGAGTGATGGCTTTGCAGATTGTGTAGTCGGAGTAACCATTAGCCTTGAGAGCTTGGTGCACGTGCTTGAGTTCACTGGCAATGTGTTCCTGGTCAGAGATGCATTGGGCTCTATGGTATAGAGTCTTGATGTGGGAATTCTTCTGGGATGGATGGTGGTGGGAATCCGGTTATAAGTAAGCATCCGTATGGGTAGCTTTCCTGTAGACAGAGTGGCTCATTGAACCATCAGGTCTCCTTTTAATTAGGACATCCAAAAAGGGTAGTTTGCCATCTTTTTCGACTTCCATGGTAAATCTGATGGCTGGGTGTATGTAATTGGTGTGGTCGAGGAATTGGTCTAGAGCAGGCCGGCCATGTGACCAGATGACAAAAGTGTCATCCACATACCTCTTCCATAAGGTCGGGCGTAGAGTGGCAGTCTGGATGGCGTTAGTCTCAAATTTTTCCATGAAAACGTTGGCCACAACCGGAGATAGGGGGAAGCCCATTGGGGTGCCCTCAGTTTGTTTGTAGAAAGTTCCATTCCAGGTGAAGTATGTGTTGGTTAAGCAGTGTCTCACCAGGGGGGGTACATCAGTATGCAGTCCTTGATGAACCAAGTCTTCAATGATTGCGATGGTGTCAGGTACAGGAACTTTGGTGAATAAGGAAACCACATCAAAACTGACAAGCAGGTCGTCTGGGGACAGGGAAATACCCTTGATTGTCGATACCAGGTGAGTAGAGTTTAGTACCGCAGAGGTGGTTTTTACAGTAAAAGGCCACAGGATTTCAGACAGAAAATGAGCCAGTTTGTAGGTGGGGGAGTTGATAGTAGAGACGATGGGATGAAGGGTGTATCTTCTTTATGTATCTTTGGAAGGCCATATAATCTTGGTGGCCTGGCCGCAGAAGGTTTCAACGATAACTGTTTGGTTTGATCAATTAATGCTGTTGAATCAGAAATGATTTTGTTGGTTTTAGTGACGAGGCTGTTGGTGGGGTCTCTTCTTATTTTTGTATAGCTGCCATCATTGAGTAGTTCCTGAATTTTGTTGTTATATTCTATTTTGTCCATGATGACAGTGGCATTGCCCTTGTCGGCTGAGAGGATGACAATGTCATCCCACTTTTTTAATTGAGATAATTCAAAGTGCTCATCTTTGCTGATGTTGCTAGCTGGCATCTTAGCGTTTTTGAGGGTTGCAGCGATTTCAGATCTTGCTACGTCTGCAGCGATGTGACTCAGGCCCTTGAGTGCCACGTCGACATGGACAATAATATTAACTGGTATGTATCTAGGTGTGACTGCAAAGGTTAGTCCTTCAGCTAAAACGGTTTTCAGACCATCAGAAATAGAACTGTTCCTGCGATTAATTACGACT